TGGGCTATTCTTCACCCTCTCCTCGTTGCTCACCCAGGAGAGGGTAGCATACGCCCAATCTGGGTGAGCAACGAGGAGAGGGTGATGAAGGAGAGGGTGATGAAGGAGAATCCTAGACCTAGCCTACAACTACTGGGCCTCTAAGAATGCCAACTTTTTGTCTTCTTCTGCTTGGCCTCAGTCCCCGACATGTGCCCCGGATTCAAGGGAGGCTGCTCGCGAAACAGCTGGTTCCGGCGGCATCGGGAGTGCAGCCGGCCCACTCCCTGCGGTAGTCAGTTCCCCGTACGGGACTTCCGCTTGTTCTCCTTGGCCTACTTCCTTGAACATGCGGCTCTCATGGTCGTCATTGTTGCACCACAAGCAGTAGTTGTACTTCACTCGCATCTCGTATGTGCACTTTGTGAGGCAGTAGCGATCCCAAGGTTCGTGAGTAGTCTGCCCGGTCCCGGCAGAATGCTAGGTGGACGTCTTCTTGATGCCCTTGCCTTTGCCTTTGGGCGGTGAACCACCTCCCCGAGTTGTTGCTACCGTGTCCCCCTCGTCCGAGGTAGCGGCCTGTTCTTCTTGAATGGTTGTAGGTGAATTTAACCACCGCAACATATGGTTGTCTTGGCTGGTACTTAGTCATGTCCGAAGAAGATGGCTGGCGCTCATTCCGAGCTGCCATGTTGGTGGGAATGATCTGCGATGACTTGTCAAAGAGCTTTTGTGAGGTGGTGAGCGAGTCAATGCATTTGGTAAGCGGTTGCTGAAGTGTCGGGCATGAACGCTTGATGAAGTTATGCTTGATTCCTAAACTGATTGGCAACTTCGGCGTAGATGCCAGCCATCGATACTCTGCGACTCAATCGGTGCTCGATATGGCGTGCTGCATAAAATGCATCAACTTCTCAATGGCTGTGATCTCCTGTGGGTCCACTTGGAACTGTTTCTGCCATGCTGCTGCGAGCTCGTCCCAACTCATCTTGGTGTGCGGGTCGACGATCTTCACACCATGAATGTTAATGCTTGGCTTGACAAGCACTGCCCGATCGGTGGTAAAGGCAGCCATGTCGCTGATGATGCGGAAGCATCCAGGCCAGAATGAACTTGGACCACCATTGCATCGGGTTGTTCTTCAAAGAATCTTCAAAGACCGGAATGCCACCCAACTTGGGAAGGCGTATGGAAGATGATGCTGCAGGTCCATTTGCTGCAACGGTCTGAATCTGCTGCACAGCTGCTCGTCAGAAGGTTCTGCTGCATGGACTCCTGCAGACTGCTAACCAGCTCTTTAAGATTCTTGTTCGATTCCTTCAGGCTGGCAACATGCACGTCCAAAACGTTGACGCTGTTCGCAAGATTAGAAGTGCCAGACGCTGCTCCACATCCTGCAATCGAGCAGAGAAGTCCTTGACCTGCTGGTCCAGGCTATGAATGTCCTTCACAATAATAATAATAACAATGAAAGAATGAACCAGAAGCAATGTCCGAATCTCCTCCTTACTGCCAGCTAACTCATGAGGTCCACCATATCCATGTCCTACACGTTCTTCCACCTTCTATTAGTAGGTGGCTGTGGCGGACCAGCAGAGCCCTGCTTTGAGGTTCAAAGGACAACGCAAAGCTGATGTGTGCCCTCTCCACTATGGCCGCCATGTCTAACTCTGCCCCAAAGTCTTCCTTGATGAAGTCTACCCCCTATGGGGGCTTCCAGGTGCAGCTCCAACCAAGAAGATGAACCCCGTCACTGTTCTGCTTACTCACCTTCTTCCTTCTCCTCCTACTACACCCCGGAGCCTTCCACCCTGGTCCGCTCCACCATAGCTGAGTGGAGGGGCCAGGCTGCTTTCTTCCTCCCCGGTGCTGGACACACCAAGCGCTCTCTCCAGCAGCGTGACGCCAAACTTGCGCACCGGAAAACGAGGAGCAGTTCGCTCCTCCCGAAGATATACCGGGTAGCTGCCTCCTTGGGTGGTGACTTTCCGCTCGGCCTCCCAAGCTACCGGTACCTTCCACCTTTCGGGGGGAAACATCACTGCAGGTCTCATATCCTTTGCCACAGGCCCTAGACTCGGACTACTGGACCGGTACCCCAAGACCTAAGCCTACCGCAGTTCTAAAATTCACTCGGCCTCTAAAGGTACTAACTTTTTGTCTTCTTCTGCCTACCTACCTGCTGCTCAAGTGCTTTCCAACGTGTGTTTTCCATCTATGCGGGCCTAGCCTACCGCTACCCCCCGCAGCAACCCACAAAGGCACGGCCACAGGTAAGTACCAGGCCCGAGGGCCTTTCAAGCATACAAGTACCCTGGTGGGCCACACACACACCCAAGCAATCATGCAGTCAGACAAACGCACGGAAAGTCAGCAAGCACACACACACACAGACTTAGAAATCTCAGGAGAAAGAAGGAATCTCAGCAAGTCGCACAATCCAGCTGCGAAACTCCGAAATCAGCAGAGTTCTCAGTCTGTGATTTTGCAGGTCATTAAACACCACAGACAAGTGGCAGATCCAGTCCAGATGCAGACAAAAATGCACCTGACCTACAACGACCAAAAATAAAATCCACTGGTCCGAACAAGCACCAATGTGGCAGTGCCTGTTCGGACAAAAGGAAAGCCTGGAATATCACTCTCTGGAACAGATGAAAACAGACTAGACAAAATCAGTCCCAAAGACAGCTCAGCCTGAATAAATAAACAAATAATTTGGAATAAATGCTAAGAAAAATAAAGAACGAATGGGACAAAAAAGAAACCAAGGCCTGGAAAAGTGACCATGGCCCTCCAGGCTGCCCAAATAAAGGGCGCACGGCCTGGGGGCTGAAGTGAACCAGGACGGGCCTTTTGGGGCCCATGTAGCAGGATCCAGCATGCTACACTCGGTCAATGTTGATGTCATTTTCAGACCGAACCACTTCGTAGGCTTTACATTCTTCGGTTTTGGATGGGATAGGATCATAGGAGAAACCAAAAAGGTAGGCCTTTTGAAACCAAAAGTGGAGGTTCAAAACTCCGTTGCCTCGTGCACGTACACCGGAAGCGCTGTCATAACACCCAAGCCAATCACGCACCTCCTTTGGGACGACGCATGGTAAGATTTACAGGCACTGCCTGCGCACCGCCCAAGAGGTCTAGGTCCATGGTTGTAGCATGCTGGATAGGGCCATAAGGAGGGCTGCGTGAGTGCTTGGTCTTAGGGGGTCTGAGGATCAGGGTCTTATATTGGCTCAACCATGAGGGGCATGAGGGATAGGTTAGGGTAGACTAAGGGGAGGGTTTACTGCCTAGACTGTCGATAACCCAAAACTGTCGAAAACTGTCGAAACCGTCAAGACCTCTGCGTGGCCACTTGGACCCTCCGATCTGTCAGTCTCGTCAGTATGTACTAGTCCATGGGGGTGCCATGGTCGAGCCTGGGTACAGCCAGTATGTTTCCTGTCACTATGGCACCCATACGAGAGTCCACACAGAACGAACTTGGACTATGGTAGGGCCCATCTCGGGGGAAATAATCCTACGCACACACTGGGTGTTAGTATGGGGTAGGTACTAGGTACTTCTTATCTCACAGGTATCTCACGATGCCTGCGGGTGGTGCTTCATCCAGGCTGGGGTCCGTGGGAATTCTCATTGGGGGAATTAGTCGGGATTGTGGATTCTTGGGGAGCCTTGGGAAGCAAGGCATCATGCTTGGGATAGGGGAGGGCGGGATATCGATATCGCATCTTAGTGGAAGGGCGGTTCGCTGCCCATAGAGTCTGCGGGATGAGGCACAGATGGGGGATGACTGCATATGCATGGACCCCACCTGTGCCCGGGCCGTCCTTAACATTAAGTTATGGGAGGGTAGTGTCTGCACAAAGACGTTAGGGTTAGTCCGGTAAGCGTTGGTGCAGATCACACGACCTGTGATTTGAGCATTAGCATAGGTCATGGTACCATGGTGCCATCTTGAGGTGACTTCCCCCCCTTGGGTCCTCGCAATCCATCCGACCTCCCAATGGATGAGTACTACGGGTACCTCCTGAGGCCTGGCCACCAACCTCTACTACACCCTGGACCTTAAAAAAAAAAAAAAAAAAAAAAAAAAAAGTGGAAACCAATGAGACTATATTCAAAGCATTTAGAAGTGAAAGCTACCAGGAGAGAGGGTGAATGTGGGATGTTTCTGCTAGAACCTGCCATCACAGTGAAACATGAAAGGATGCATGGCAGGGGCAAACTTAGGCAAGGCTGTTACGATGCTTTCTCACCCACTCCATGAATTGATTGCTGTCTATGTCATGGGAATCGATATATGGATGGTCTTTTATGGCTTCGGCCAGTACAGCATCATGCAGAGAAGCTGCAGGATTATGAGGCTTGGCGGAAGCAAGAGATCACTGGAGACCAGTTGGCCAAGGACAAGGCTATCATAGGCGAGATAGAGGCGGAGCGGAAAAAGTTTCGGGGTAAGGAAAAACAAGGATGCAACATCAACCACTCACTCACTCAATAACTATACTATACCATAACACCTTCCACCTCTCCCAACCTCTACTTTTGCCATGAAATGCCTCCAACTTCTTTTGTTCTGCTTTTGTCTACACAACCTTGGTTTAGGTGATTCACGTCTTTGTTTCTTCTTTTTTATAAGTAGCTTACATCTTGACTTGCCCGTTCGGTTTACTTTGGTTCAATGCCAAGATCAGTACGTCAACACGGAGAGAGGAGTTTACCAAAGTTTGGCCCCTGAATCGACCCTTCGGAAGGATGAGATGTGCTTGTGAAGCCCATCTGAAATATACTCCCCATGCACTGTTGACCTCTTCTCGCATCGTGCGTTGTTAACCTCTTCTCCCTCTCTGCCTACGGTTTACCGGGCAGCTCTGGTACCAGGCTTTACTTTCCGGGTGAATACAGCAACGCACTCTTGGAACTGCTGTCACCCTTCTGCCCATTACCCTTCTGCCTATCGCTGCTCAAGTGATATTTGATATGCGCCTTGTGTCCACTGATATAGATCTCCTGTCATAGCATAGCTCCAACCCATAGTCTCAGTCCAGGTCTAGCTCAGTCCATCCTTTTTCCGTTAGTCCTCAGGCTGCGAAGCCTCCTTTCTGTTGACTACTGGCTACCGTCTTCACCCGAATACAACTTGCGGTCATTATAGCTGTGTATTTAGGGTCTCTTTCAGTCTAAATACAGCGATAATGACCGTACGTTGTATTTGGGTGAAGAAGGTTGCAGACTTGTCTCTCCTGAAATCCTGGGCAATCACAACTGTCACCCTCTTGTCCAGTTCGCTACCGTTCGCTACTCGTAAGGAGCCCAAAAATATAGACAGGGATGCTGTCTGTTTGTGTGGGACCTCGACTATTCCTTACCACGGCCGGTACCACCACTTAGTGTGTTACACACTTGCCCCTTCCGCCGGCTCCCCCACAAGGTGCTAGCAGAAAGGGGAGTTCGGTTATATATGACCACAAGGTTCCACTGGGTCGTATGCTAGTCGCCAAGGGAAAAAGGTGGTATGTGTAAGACTGGGGCCCAGTGAACCATGGGCAGTTATGGAGGAAGGGGGTCAGTGATAGACTGTTTTGTTCGAGTTTCACAGACTCCTCAGGAGGCTGAACCTTCTACACTTTGCAGAGTCTTCGGACCAACGATGCTGTGAATACCGTCTTATTGTGTATTAGCCAGGGATCAGCAGCCTGTTTCTTTGTCTGGCCCAATTCACTCTGTGCCTTCTCCACAAGGTTGTTGCGGCTCCTTTGTTCCCAACGGTAATATATCTGCTCCTCTGTCGGGTATGCCCCCTGCAGACAGTATAGCTTTTACTCAAGGGGGCATATATGCTCCTATGTTGGGATTCCAGGGGCAGTTCCTACTCAAGGTGTAGCCCCAACCGTCCAGGGAGTGGGACATGATTTGCCTGAATGGCAAATTGCCCCACAAGGCGTAGACCACATGGGTGATCTGCAAATGGCGGACCAGCATCGTTTGGCTGAACCGCAATTTTTTTTGTTCCACAAGGCGTAGTAGACCACATGGGTAATCTGCAACTGACTGATCAGCAGCCCGGGACATTTTGGGCTAATGACACCATCTGGGTGATCCGCAAATTGTTGGCCAGTGTCGGGCACTCCGGCCTGAGATCCCCCCTAATCTCTGTGGTGTGATTGTCTGCGCATTCTCCACCTCCCGCTTTAAGCCACCGTCGGACTTTGTTGCAATTGCCCTTGAGCTTGATGCTGATCCTCCCTGCCTACTGGCGGAGGATGTTAATTATACCAGGCAAGGAGGCTGTACAATTGCGGTCCTACAAGTAGCAATGAGGCGCCGCGAACTTGAACTACGCAATGCTCAGGCAGGTGAGTGGTTTCATCTTTCATCCCACATCTCTGCCTGAATTGTACACGGACCTGGCCATACATGACCATTTTGTACATGCCTCTGACCACTGGGAGCTGAGGGACAATGGCACCATGCTCCATGCCATGACTGACTTTACTGATTCCGTACATAACGATGTTGTTTTCTTGCCACACCAAATTGTTCTGCACACTCTTTTACGTCCAAGATCATTCTTCTGCCCCAGTGCTGCAGCAGGACAATGTATCATCCAACACTCTGTGCCTTCTCCTTTGCACAGCTACGAACACTGTTACACTTTGCTGCAGCTGTCATCGTGTCTCTCACAACAACTACAATGACGTGGTTTCTCCAGTCGCGTGTGCAGAGGACTGTCCTTCCTTTCCTGACTGTAGGCACCCTCCGCATCCGGATGTTATATGTCCATTTTGAGCCCATGGGCCTTAGACTGAGAATGCATGGTCTTTTGTGGGTCGGGTTCTTCATTCATGTTGGCCTGCAATCAACATGCCATTTGTGGGGACTGTTTGGTAGGCATGCTAAATGTCAGCCGTTGTGGCGATTGTTATACGGAGACTCTGAGAGTGCTCAGCTAGGTCTTCCTTGTTCCACACTCCTTACTTTCCATTAATTTCCCTTGGTCTTCCTTTGCTTTACCTTTTTCCCATCTTTCTCTCAATTTATCCCCTCCCTCTTTACTCTGCCTCTTTTTCACAGTGTACAAGTTGTCCGCTATGGCACACGGGGATGTGGGCAGCATGTGCTCAACTTCAACAGTGTGGCGAGCCTTGTACGTGAGAGGCACAGTAAAGGGGGAGCTAAAAGAAGAAACGATCAAAAGAACGGTTTCAGTGTGCACTTCATGTTTTTCTTCTGTATTTTGTCGTTTGTTTCACAAACTGCGCTCTCTTCGTTCATAGATATGTGACAATATAATAATGCATTACATGTATTATGTATATATATGTTAGGCCCTGCCAAACACGGACTGAGACACACAGCTGATTTCTGAGTTTTGCCAATGGAACGCATGCCTTGCTGAGTTTCCCGCTTGTTGCTGAGTTTCCTAAGTCTGAGTGTGTGCATGCTTGCTGGTCTGTGTGTCTGTCTGAGTGCTTGCCGGTTTGAGTGTGTGTGAGACCCGCGAGGGTACTTGTCCGTGTGCAAGGCCCAAAGGGTCGGTACGTACCTGTGGCCGTGGCATTGAGGGTTGCAGGGGGGGGAAACACTCAAGTGGCGGGGAAGGAGGCCCACGACACTTGAAGCAGCGGAAAAACACTCAAGTAGCAGGTAGGCTGGTACCACACCAGGTAGAGGTAGATGTGACGGGTACTCGAGGCCGAGCAGAAGAAGACAAAGTTGGCATTTTTAGAGGCCCAGTAGTTGTAGGCTACCAAGGTCTAGGCGGGTACCAGTCCAACCAGTCTAAGTCTAGAGCCTGTACGGGCAATATCAGAGTCTGCAATGATGTTTCTGTCCGAAAGGGAGGAGGTACGGGTTGCTTGGATGCCGCGCGGCCTAGGAAGTCACTCGCCAAGAGGCAAGCAGGCCGCTATATCTCCAGGAGGAGCGAGGTGCTCCTCCTCGTTGTCGGTGTGCAAGTTTGGCGACACACTGGTTGGAGCACTGGCTGGAGCAGCGCTAGCATCAGAGCAGAGTTGCTGGGGAGGAGCAAGGACAGGGGGAGGAAGAAGACCAGGACTAGGAGGGAGGAGCGCCAGATGTACTTACCTGGCTATGGTGGATGCCATCTTCATCACCTTGGCGGGCGCTGCATCTGGAAGCCCCCCGTTGGGGTAGAGCTACACCAAGAAGCTTTGAGGCAGGGTCAGGCATGGTGGCCGGAGCCAGAGCAGCCATAGCTGCTTTGTGTTGTCCTTTGCACAGCAGGGCAGTGCCCTGGTAGTCCGCCATAGCCTCAGCCGTGGAAGAAGGAGGAAGAAGGGTGGCCATGGCTATGGTGGACCTCATGTGAGGCCTGCAGTAGAAGAGGGATTCGGACATTGATTCTGGTTCAGCCATTCAACATTATTATTATTATTTCTTGTTTGAATAAGAGGGGAGGAGATAAGGAGGA